CATGGCTAAGAGCAGAGGAATGGCAGCCTGCTTTCCCTCTAGGTGGGCGATCATGAGGTGAGTATTTTAACTGTATATTGGCTGCAGAGGAGCTTGGTGGTCTTCTCCATACCTTTGAATGAGAACTTGACCTAAGTGGGTCATAGCTCAAAGGCTTTCATATCCGAATCCTCAGCTCTGAGCCCTCACCCAGTGCCAGGCCTGCCTTGCCAACTGCTGGAGGATCGTCTCCTTGGCTGACCTGTCATATCAACTCCAGAACTCACCATCTCCCCTTTCCCCCCATGCCCACGTCTCCCTTCCCTGGCCATATTTCACTTTTCTCATCATCCACATTGAAGTATGATTAGTACCTCTGGTTCCTGTTTCTCTCACTCCAGGTTGTCATCAAGTCTTGCCAATTCTGCCTTCACATTGTCTTTTGAATCTGTCACTTCCTCTCTTCCCACTTTCCCTGCTCATTTAATTGGATTATTGTTTAAGCCTCTGTTGTGGACTGAATGTTTGTGGTCCCCCCATTCGTATGTTGAAGCCCTAACCCCTGGTGTGCTGGTATTAGGAGGTGGGGCCTTTGTGATTAGGGTTAGATGAGGTTGTGAGAGAGGAGCCCTCACAGTGGAAAAAGTATCCTTACAAGAAGAGGGAGAGAAACCAGAGCTCTCTACCGCCCCTACCCCCATCCCCTCCCACTGTGGAAGCAGGAGGAGAAAAGGGGCCATCATGAATCCTTAGCCTCATCTGCAAGTCAGGAAGAGAGCCCTCACCAAGAAACGAATCTGCCAACACCTTGGTCTTGGACATCCTGGCCTCCAGAACAGTGAGAAATAACTGTGGTGTTGTTGAGGCACGGTATTTTGTTATAGCAGCCTGAGCTGACTAATACAACCTCCTGTTCGGTTTCTCTGCTGCTTGCCTCCATCTCGTGTGTGGATATTAGTTTCCTTGATGGCACTTATCGCTGATTATAGTAATATGTTTGTTAGTCTGTTGAGTAGCTTGGTGATTATCTTCATAAGCAGAGGTGCCCTCCATGAAGCTGTACATCTTTTGTTCACCACTCTGGACCCAGGGCCGAGTGCCATGTTGGGCACATAGAACATGCTTAATAATGTGTTTCTTGAAGAAATGAAATGCTGACAAGGAATGCCTCCAACCAGTTCACCCTGCATTCTGCCTGGTTCCTTCTGACTCATGCCAGGGTGTACTGACCCTGTTGTGTACTGACCAGGGTTATCTTTCTAAAACACAAATTTCATCTCACCCAACCCTTGTCAGTGTTTACTGGGTCCCAGCACCCTTTCTGAATGTTTACGGGAGTGAAAATGAAGTTAGGACCAAGCTGATAGTGAGGTGTGGTGGCTCATCAATAGAGGTGATCATAAATGACTAATAAAAAAGTTTTAATTGTGGATTTGCTTTAAAAGAAACCCCCAAACCCACAAGCACTACAGGAAATAGATGAGTCATGCCTTCTAGTACCCAGTGTCCTCTAAGCTGGGGTTTGAGAAAATCAGCCTTAACTGCTAGAAGTACCTCGCATGGTTACCAGTGTGCTGTCCCAGGTGGGCACGGCGAGACCCCCGCCTTTGCCGTTCGTGGGCAGGGCTCAGCGACCCTCCACCTGCACTGCCCTGTGGGCTCCATTCAGTGCAGTGGGTGGGACCATCTCAGGGGTGGTGTGTGTCCTGTGACCGTGTGTGCCTTGGGGGTGGGGTGGGGAGGGATGGAGATCTTTGGGGAAAGACGAGGCAGACCCTTTGACTCTAGCTATTTACAAACTCGGGAAAACAGAGCTCAGTAGAACGCCCACTTCCCATCTCCTTACTAAGAGGAAGTTCCATTAGCTCATAGAAATGCAGAATCACCCATCCCTCAGCTTGGAAAAGCCCTCGAAGGAGGTTTCTCAGCGTAGGAACAAACGGGGCCATCTCTTGGGGACATTATTGCAAATTCCCGAGGAGCCTGGCAGTATCTCACTGCTGTTTGGAAGAACTCTCTCAGTTTCTCCCATGGCCCTGGCCGTGCTGGGTGGTCAGAAAGCAGCTTAAAAGAGGAGGAGTCCCGGCACAAACTCCCACTCCTTCCACATAAGGGAAGCCTGCTGCAAGAGCTCACGTGCTCGGACTCCACTCTCTCCTTCGAACTACTCCATGCTTCCTCTCTTCCATCCAAACTGGCCTCAGTTCCTTGAGAGGGATTCCTCTTACTCTCTGAAACTTCCTATTCATGTCTCAGCCAGGCTTCATCCAACCTGCCCCAGAGGCCTTTCCCTTGGGCACACGCCATCTCCAACACTCATTTCCAGGAGGAAGTGACCAACCCCATACACCAATTTGACAAGGAGGCCTTCGGGGCAAAAGTCTGAGCAGGTCCCAAACGGTATGAGATTAGTCAAGTTCTCTGAAGATGACAGGATCAATGCTTCCCCAGAACTGGTTATTTTCTCAGGGTAAAAGGAGAGAGGCATCGTCAGAGATGACACCGGGGAACAGAGATGTAGTGTCCCCGACCACCTCCTGGAGGAGCCAGGCTGCGACAAAGAGCGAAGTGTACCCCAAACTCAGGCCCCAAGCTCCACCGGCTGGGCTGAGCTCGGGGAGAGCCTGAAACCCACACGTGGCTTTTCGTGGGAGGGGGAGGCTGCTTTTAGAATTGAATGCAGATGGCTTCTGCACTTATGAGAAGCACTGCTGGGACACACGTCTACATTGGGGGGAGCAGCTGGCGGGGCTCCAGGAATG